CTCCTGCCTCACTGATAGAGGTTTCAGAAAAGAGGGACTGGTGATCTGACAAAAGCTCATGAACACACTGGTCTCTCTTTGCTCATACAGGCAGATGAACAGAGTCTGTATTTACACTACAGAGACACCGGAGTGATTCACTTTTTTGAATAATTCGTTCCAAAGTACCGGATCAAAAAAAAAAATTTGACTTACTGTTTCATCACTCAAGTTTTGCCATAAAGTTGTCGTGAAATAAATATATAACCATGCATGTGTTTAACTGGATCTTCCGGTGTAAACGACAGACTTCTCTCTGGTGACGTATGTAGGACTTCTCCTATTATTTAGTTCATTTAAACCTGCTGTGCAAGCTCACGTTCATCTGTTTTCTTCTTTGAGTGAAATGCCCACATCTCAAAATCCAATGAACAATTCATGGATAGAACCAAGTCCCCCCGCTCTACATTATTTATTTTCCGATAATCTGTCATTCTTGGATGTACGTCACAATACAAACGAAAGGATTCATCACTACTTCATTTTATTGTGACTTTGCCTTTTGAAATAACAAAAAGGCACTGCAGAGCATTTTATATTTCACTTTTTTTGTGGTAACATGATTTTTATAATAATATTACAACGTAAACCTAAATAAATAAAAACATAAATACAACTAAATAAAATAACTACAATTAAATCATTTTAAAAATGACTTATTTTATTTCAGCTAGTTGCCAAGAAAACATTTCTCATTTTCATTTAGTTTAACTTGAAGTACTAAAATTACAAATAAATAAATAAACGGGTTGTTTAGCAATCTGATGATGAAGAGGGACTCTCAAATCTCAACTGAGATTCTCAATTCACTAAATCACTTGTTTTACACAGAACCATTCCATGGACATTAAATTCTGACTTAGACCCACTATAAACTTTGCCATTGTCATAAACTTTGTTTGCCGCTTTCCTGATCTGTTCTTACCTATAACACTGTCCCGGGCCTGTTCTTCCTGCTCTTCCAGCCCGCTGGTTTGCATTGGCTTGACTGATGGGGTAAACCTGCAGCGCATCCATGCCAATTCGGGGATTGAACACCTAAACAACAAAAGTAATAATTCTGTTAGTATCAGCTGTGCCATTCCCCTATTAAAGAAAGCGGTTTCATTTGGTTTTACCTTCAGTTTGCAGTAACCAGCATCCACCACAAACATGATGCCGTCCACGGTCAGAGACGTCTCAGCGATGTTTGTAGCAACAATACACTTCCTCACTCCATCAGGAGCCTGTCAAAAACACACAGGTTCAGTTCACAAACCTCTAATGCTTTTTGTCTCATGATCAGGATCTTAAGAGTATCCAACAGTAACAGAGGTTTACCTTCTGGAA